ATGACTGGTAAGGTTTCCATGTACACTTCAGATACGCTTCTTCAAAAGTAGACCTAAGTAATTTATTTATTTATTTATTTATTTTATTTTATTTATTCAATTTTTATCCCGCCCTTCTCCTTACGGACTCAGGGCGGCTGACGGCCTTATAAAACAGATACAAAAATAAATACCCAATTTAAAACCTAATTAAAAAGAAATATTTACTATGGCCTATATAATTAAAATTTCTCTTAAAACCCCACTAAAAATTCCCCTAGGCCAATCCCGCTTGTTGGAAGAGCCATGTCTTCAGGGCGCGGCGGAAGGAGGGGAGATCCGGGATCACCCGAATCTCTGGGGGTAGTTCGTTCCAGAGGGTGGGAGCTCCCACCGAGAAGGCCCTCCCCCTGGAGGTCGCCAGCCGGCACTGTCTAGCTGACGACACCCTGAGGAGACCCACTCTGTGGGAGCGTACCGGCCGATGGGAGGTAATCTGCGGCAGAAGGCGGTCTCGGAGATATCCAGGTCCGATATCCATGGTCCGATGCCATGGAGAAACAAAGCACTGATGACAGGGCCTGCTGAATTGTACAAGGGGAGAGCTTTAAACTCCCAACAGAACAGCCCCCTGCTAGATTGGAGAGTTGAGACTGGATTCCAGCACCACAGCATTCAACTAATTCGGCTACAGAGGATGACTGAGTAACTGACTGCTATTTTTCATCTGGTCTCTTGCAGTAGAACAAAGCCGGTAGCCCGAGTTCACGGAACCCAGAATGGAACAGGAGGTTGAGCACATCCCACGTCTTCTGCTGAACTCAGATGAATATCTTCTTGAAAAGATACGCTATGCAAAATGTAGGGATGTTGGTTCTTAACGTGGAAGTCTTTACAAAGTGCCCAGATGGTATTTTTGCCTCAGCTCAAGCCTGGGGGCTTTTTTAATTAGATGTTTCTATTTTCTGAATAGTCAGCCCCTGGGGCTATGTTTCATAAATAAAAATTTAAAATAACTTTTTTCGGGCTGTCTTAATGCATAATGAATCTACTGGTTGCAGAAAACACACACACATAACACATTTCTTGCTTGCTTGCTTCCGCTTTCTGCGGTCTCCAACCTTTATTCCCTTGACCTACTTGGAGTGCTTTCAGGACAATCAATTTACCTGGTGTGTGTTGGGCTTCTCTCTAATATGTACCTTGTCTAGTCTTCAGTTGGTTTCAGGTTTGCTTGAGGCTACTTGTTATTAAATACACCAAGATGGGAATGGAGGTCCTCAAGAGGCTGCCAGTTTTGAGAAAGAGGTATATTCAGGAGCGCTATCTTAGTACATGATCTTTCTCTACTTACATCTACTTAGGCCAGTGTTTCTCAACCTTGACAATTTTAAGGCATGTGGACTTCAACTCCCAGAATTCCACAGCCAGCATTGCTGGCTGTGGAATTTTGGGAGTTGAAGTCCACATGCCTTAAAATTGTCAAGGTTGAGAAACACTGACTTAGGCCTTTCATTATGGAAGTACCCAAATAGTGGAGTACCCAAATACTGAACTGCCTGTTATTTACTTCTTTAGAAAAATAGCAAGACTTGCAATTTCAAAATAACAAAAGATGTTGTATAGGAGGACAGCTGTGTGGTAGGCCCAAATCACAAGCACCTTTTTAAAAGTAAAGAATGTTGCTGAAAGGCATTTAGCTATAGCCCACTTATCAGATGCATGAAGTGGCTAAACTGATGTAGGATTTAAATTGGGATAAGAAGGGGAACAGGAAGGGAAGATGGTGATTATGCAGATTATATGCGAGTCAGATTACATGCCACTCTTTCGAAGACAGCAAAATCCACATTTTGGACAGAGAGGACCGTTGGTTATTGAAAGAGAGGTCAGAGGCCATCTATGTCAAAACTGAACATCCCTTTCTCAACAGGGGGAGGGATATGACATCATCTATCTCCAGTCTAGAACACAGTCCTTTCAACAGTTCCAAGAAGGCTCCATGCCCCTTTGCCCCTCAGGTGATCCTGATGACCCAGATAAACCTCCAGGTGGCATCAACAACTCTCTAAAAGAATGCAAATGACCAGCTGCCTGCAAGGAGCATATAAACCCTTCCATTCCTCACCATCTAGTCAGAGCTGAAGAAGCTTCTTGGATGAGAAGTGAAATGTCTTCAAAGAAAAACGAAGTCCAGTTGCCTCCTGAAAAAGCGCCTTTGGGATAACTATGACCTGGATGACTGAGAATCTCCATAGACAGACTTCCTAAGATAAATTGGAAATTTCACCAACATTTTAACCATGGATGTTGAGGCAATTACCATCAACATTCTCCACAAATTTGGACATCAAGCTATCATGTCTTGCCACTGACTGATTGTATGCTGCTACATGACATCACCTTTGACAACATATCTTCAGTCAGCAATATTTGAAGGTATATTACATACATGGCTTCACATTTGTGAACATCTTCATGTCTGACGTAGTATACCTGCTCCTTTTAGTTGAGATTCATTGATGACGTTTAAACATCTGGACCCTTGGCAATGAATAATCGAATTTTTCCCCATCTATTAAAAAAATCCACTTTGATGTCATGATAAAAAATAATGGATGCAAACAATATATTATTTAGGAACCGATAAATCACTATGTCTGCTGCATGTCTCTAGTTTCCATCCAGAATATAGTATTGAATATATCTATTGGATCTACATTACAATTCCATTTGTTCTGGCCAACTTGCAGAGATGTGCAACTGATGGATTAAACTGGACATTCTAAAGATAATTCACCTAAATTCAGTAGACAACTCAACAGAGCCACATCAATCCCCAGGGAAAATGTATTAAAATACTACAAAAATACAACATCACTGGTTATGTGCAGTTCAAGCCACTCACAATAAGTTGTAGCCTATATTGGACACTGCATTTTTTTAGGCACTGGGTGGCAGGCCCATACTTGCATACAGAAAACCATCCTATCTGAAGTAGATGACAAGAAATAACAGGGTTATGATGTTAACACAGGAAGCAGATAATCCCAACCAACCCCCCCCCCACACACACACATTTACATCAACACCACCTTCACAGGCCCCAACAACTTCATATACATTAGAGGCATGTTTACAGGCTGTTCTAATGTAATAGATGCTATCCTCTCTGGATTCTATGTAGGCCAAACAGGCCAAACTGCAAAAAGAATTAATGGATTCAAGTTTGACACCAGGATTTAAAGGAATGGCAAAGTAATCCTGGAGCCTTTGAACCTGGCAGGAGATTCCATTACAGATCTCAAAAATTTTTGGGAAGGGGGAGGAAGAAGAAACTTGAGAGATTGCTCAACTCATACAGTTAAAAGTTTCAGGCTAGCTAACAAATATAATGGGATTTTAATGTATTACAGTTGTTAATTGATATAGTGCTTGTAATCTGTTTCATACATAATTTGCACCTGCAGAACGACCCTGCCTTCCCCTCCCTTCTGACCCATCTCATTCCAATTTAAATTCTATGTCGGTTCAGCCACTCCATGCATCCATGAAAGCTTAAGCCTTTTTAATAAAATGTGTTATGAAATCCTTGGCACTGTCTGAGCTTGGTGATTTGCTTGCAGTCATTTCATTACCAGGTAATGTCATTAGAGAGTGAATGTGTGATTTGTTCCCAGGTTAAGAACAAGTTCCCAGGTTAAGAACAAGTTCTCTTCTCTGTCTTTAACTTGAATTTGTATTTAAGCCAGAACTCGTATTTACAAATGGACTGCCTATTACTAAAAATGGCAGACTGTATTGTCCTTTGTCAAACCAACAGAGCACTAAAGCTGTGCAATACTTTCAGGAACTACTGAAAATAGATGAAAACCACTATATATAAAAAAACACATGGTTTAATTGCTTCATCAGAATGGGGAAGAACAACGGTGTCTGCTATTTTTAGTAATAGGCAGCCTGTTCGTATTTAGGGATTGTCCTTAAGTCAAACATTCTTAAGGACTGCCTATGCAGTACCTTGCCCTGTAAGTTTTGGCGGGAATGTGATTCCCTGGTACTCCTTTGATTAGAGTATTATTTTCTGCTTGTTTGCCTGGTGTTAATCCTTGCTTATCTGGGTGTCGGCTGATGGAAAAGATGAGTCCTGATCTTTTTGTTTCCTTCTTAGCTTTTTTAAATTGCCTCTTTTGAATGGTGTGTAAATATGGTTTTTTTCCCTGTGTCTGTTAATGGCTAATTTGTCTGACTGCCAAGCTTCCAGGAACTGCCTAGCATTTTTGGATTTAGCTTGGTCCAGAATGTTCATAATTTTTCAGTTAAACTATGGTTAAGTCTGTTTATGTGTTGTGAGATTAAGGAATATTCATAATGTCCTCTGACTGCTAGTTGGTGTTCAGGGATGTACTCTCCAGTCTTCTGCCTGTCCATCCTACATAATGGTTGTTATATGATGTAGATGGCTTCTGTTTTCTTCTTCTCCTTGGGCTCCTGAGTCTTTTGGTTTACTTAGGTTTTGGACAGCTTTAATTGGTTTGTGTGCTACACTAATGCCAAGTGTTTGTAATAGTGGGTTGTTTCTGATGTAAGGCAGCAGCATCCTTTTCATAGCTTGTGTTGATTGTGCTGTAGTGGATTGAGTGGTCAGGCACTTTTGATAAAGTTCTATGGGTATCCATTTTGTTGGAGGGTTTGTATATGTGGTCCGTTTCCTTTTTCTAGTATTCTTGGGTTGTTGCAGTCTTTGTACTTATGTGATTCAGAGAGCAAACTTCACACTTACTCTTACTGATGATGTTGCTTAGTTGGCTAATTAAATATCTCCAAGCAAACAACTAAGCTCAGACAGCACTAAAGACTCCACAGTTCAACCCTGAGCTACATATATTCTCTTCTATTAAAATAGAAAAGATGCAACCAGATTTCTCTTGATTTAATTAAAAGGTGAAGGATTGAGGGGAAAAATGCTTTAAGAAAGTAGGTGGGTAATTGGACAGAAACATTTCTTTTAAAAAATGCACATCTTTAAAGGCACTCTTAGAGTGAATATATTTCAAGACATGGCAGTTACTGAAACTGAGAGACAATAGTAGAAGCATCAGTAAAATGAATCCATCCATCCCCCCCCCTTGTCTCAAGTACAAATTTACATATTCCCAATACTACAAAAGGTGCATGCAAAGACTAGGTCTAACTGGTGAATAATTTTGGGAGCAAAATTCAGTAGAAAAATAGCTGTGAACTCTGGTGTTTTGTTATTTACATGTAAATGAGGCACACCTGGAACTGAGATACAAATAAAATACAAATACCAAGCACTTTACAAAAAAAGTTAGGAATACTGAAAACCGTTCAAACCTAATTGGTCTAAACAGGAAACTTTTTAATATTTTCTGGGAATGGCCACTGTAGAAAAGTTCATTAACTTCATTTAAAAAAGGAAAACTGAGTCACCCATGACTCCTGAAGATTTTGTATTTGTGTTGTTTTCTTAGAAGAACATGGAAGAGTTTTTCCATCACTGCCTTTTGAGATATTGCTTTTAACTTTCTAATCTAACCCAAGCTCTGCTGTTGCCTGGAAGTGTTCCATCCAGATAATAAAAAAAACTCCACCGGCTCAAGTTTATAATTGTTGCTACTTGTCTGAATAAACAACATTACCTGGATTCTTGTAGCTGAGATTGTTCTATATCCTGTACCCCTTTTCGGCATTACATCTTGTTATCACATGCAGAACTCAAGGGAACAGCAGTAAAACAACATCAAATGAAAACTCTTTCTCTATTTCTGTGCTTCTACTCAAAGGTGTCAGATATGATGCAGCCCATGAGATGCTAGATTATTTAGATATGCCTTTTGAGCTGAATCTGAATTTTGAGCATAGCAGACATTTAATGCACCAAGAAACATTAAAATCTTTGGGCAATGGAAAAGAACTATAATTTAAACAGTTTTATAGCAGAGGATTACTTATACCTAATTAAGCCTGGCTCAGTGTGCAAGGTTGCAAATGAAGGCTTAGTTTTCTATTAAAAATAAATAAAAGTCCTTCTACATCAAAAATTAGATCATTCGCTAAAAGGTCTGTATTTTGCCTACACCATGCTGTTTCTACATTTTTATTTGCAGGACTATTCAAACCAGGACAACTTTATAGCTACCTAAAAAGGGACCTGGGTTTATAATCTCATTGATTGGCGGAATTCAAAATTTATATATTTTGGACAAATGTAATTCCAAAGCAAAATAATGTGAAGTTCTTTGTCCAGTCCTAAATTACAGCATCCTTGCCAATCCTTTGCCTTGCCTAACTCCTTAAATACACTTGATAGACCATATTTACCATCCCTGTTTCTACTTGTCTTAATAGGTACTGCAGACAATCATAGGTTTATGCTTGAAAATAACTTAATAAGCATTAGGGGAAATGCTATCAGATCAGTCCATAGGCCACTTGTACTGGATGAAAAACCTCATTCCTGTTATGTAAAATTCACTTCAAATTTTTGATGCATAATAGCCAGGCAGACGACTAACCAATGTCCACGGGAAGGACCTTTTATGAAAGTGTCATATGTAGAAGTACCCTTTTAAAAAGAAATGTTCCTCTCTTTGAGAGAGAAGACCCTTAGCATGAAAGAAAAGGGAACATTTGATGAAGCCCTGTACCAATATAAGATTAATGTGGGCTCGGTTCCAGAGCTTGGATCCCTTCATAGGTTTCTGGCAGTTTCACTGTCCTTATTGCAGTAGGTCTGAATCAGCAGGCAATAGTTCTGTTATCCAGCGGGTCTTTTCCCTGGAAATGTTTATATGCAAAGCAGCAGTGCTGAAATTCATTATTTCTGAAAACTGTTGTTATATTCCAGATTCTTTCAAAGTTTTGGGAGTCTGTGGAAGAAAAGAAAGACAGCTTTTAGAATTATCTAGTAATTGTTTGCCTCCACTGGAGTAAATATTTCATTAGCTCTTGATAACCGACAAGAATTTCAATAGATTTGTAAGTCCTTCTGTTTTAAGAAAGGACATTTTCCTGTCAACGTATAGGACAATGCAAGCTTTATCTGTAACTTTAAAGCAAATGATACAAAGTCTGTAGCACTACAGTCAGAGAATCAATTTTAAGTTCAAACTACACAGCCAATCACTTCAATTTAAATGTGAGGCATGTGACTTTTAATAATCCTTGGTTAAGTGATCTGGATTCTGCTTGATTTAGAAGCCCTGAAAAACTAACTGTCATGTGTCTGATTAACGAAACACTTAAAAGGACTTTCAGGCATATTTTTCCTAAAAGCATTTATTAAGGTTACAGAGACGTCAGTACAGCATGGTGGAAATGCTTAGGTCTGCTTCTCTTCCGTTACACATATACATTCCAAGCATTTCCCACTCCCTTATTGTAGGGTCAAGTTGATTGGAAGATGTGATTTACTTCCGGTTTCTTTCTCCCGGCTATCCTTATGCTCCTCCCTCTTTCCCAGTTGCTGGTTTAACTATATAAATACCAGACAGTTCTGCACATTGTCAAAGCAAGAATATACAGTATTTGCAGCGTTGACATCAACCTGTCAATAATCTACAGAAACTGCTGAGATACAGTAGTCCTCAGGGGTCATGTTCTCTCTATTTTCCTACTTACAGTTATATTGTGCAGTTGGTCAGTTCTAATCTATGTTCACTCTAGGTCATCTGAATATCCCTTTTCCTGTATCTTAGTGTGTTGCTCCCTATTTTCTTGCCCTAGGGTTTCTGGTCAGATTAATCCTTATGTCAAATATTTCCCCCTCATTTCACATTGACATACGTCCCCAATTATAAAATGACTGGAGAGATATCAAATACACCCACTTGCACCTCATTAGAAGAAGCAAGCATTATTGGTGATTGATTTGCACGGCTTCTAAAAGCAGTATGACAGGTGGAGGGTAAAGCTGTTCCAAGTCTTGATTCAGGTTTAGTCTGATTCTTGATTGTTTTTAAAAGGACCAAGTGGAGGAACATTAAAGCCAGGCTCAAAGTCAAAAGAGCATTGCAGGACTGCAGGGCAGCTCCACGCTCAGAGTGGGAATCTGGAGGATGAAATCTTTCATTAGCTCTTACCCTTAACGTGTTGGAACCGGATGTGGAACTGAATTCTGAATACTTGTCAGAACTCTGGGTCTTGCCACGTCTGCCCTGGCACAACCAGCGGTAATACTCATCACGCACCTAGACATAAACAACAACTTTAGGAATCTCTGATTTTTATATCTGTGTCTTTTCCCTGATTTGCACACATGCACACCTTGATACTTGCCAGTCTTTGAGTCTTTTCCCCCCCCAACACTCAAAATTATATGCCCAACTTACAGTCCAATCCTGTCTGCTGAGAAGTATATCCTATCATATTCAATATGCTTTACTCCCAAATAAATGACCAGAAAATTTAAGTCTCTGAGCTGTTTCCCAACATATCTGCCTTTCTACAAATGCAGGTACCTGTTTCTTGAGTACACAGTGCAGGAGGAAGATGAAGAGACCCTGTAGGCTGTTAAAAATGGTGAAGAGGTAAGACATGACGAGGGTTTGGTTGCTGAACTGAAACAAGCCAAAGATCCAAGTGATGCCTAGAATACAGAGCTGTGCAATGGCTGTGATTGTGAGCACCCTGTAAGAAAAAGAGATTAAGGGTACAACTTAACACATGTTGCTATGGTCCTTGACTTTATGTAATGAGGACTAGCCTCGAAACAGAATGTGAAGGGCATCTATTACATCAAACAGGGCTAGGTATAGCCTATGCCCTAATTCTCCTCCAGGATTATATTAGATGGAGCTTTTGAAAATCATTTTATTAAATAAATCATTTATTATCCAAGGGGATTATTATAATCTCACCAGTTATTAATTCCTGATCTTTTAAGACATAGACAATCACTTTTTCTTGGATACTTACCTCTGCTTTTTCAATTTAGTCATATCAGGGTTAATGTCAGCAAACTTCTCGGAAAGCCTCCAGACAGTAATAAGAAAGACAACAGCATTGACCTGTGCAGAAAAGATTGGATAAGGATAATCAGGCTTTGAGATGAGCACTAGCCTAAATATCACAGCTTTTCTAGCTTCCTTAATGGATGCTTAAAGATAGAGTGTTAAGCTTTTGAAAACTGAACAGTGTTAGAATTAGAGAATTCTGTTTTAACAAATTAAATCCAAGCTGTATAGTCACCTAGGAGTCATTTCAGTTTAGTTAGTTTATTTATGTTATATAATGGGGGGGGGGGGGGGAAGGGGAGAAGCATTTTAATTTGACATCAGATAATGTATGTAAGAACTGGGGTGAATGCCTTTCTAAAGGAGAGACCAAAGTTGTCCCTAGCAGAAGTGGTTCAAGGGACATATAGCAGGAACTACACAACCTCCACTACATCCAAAGCTACCTACAAATAATAAGATGCCTTCAAAAAGAAAAAATAGAATAGAATAGAATAGAATAGAATAGAATAGAATAGAATAGAACAGATCTTGGAGTCTTCTAGTCCAGGGCTTTTCAACCTTTTCACCCATTGTACCACTTTTAGGATATGGCAATATCCGAGTACCACCAGTCGCCTAGCAAGGTGTCAAAAACTTGATTACCAAAAAAAAAAAAAAAGGAAAAAAAGTGATAAAGTACAGGTAGTCCTCGACTTATAACAGTTCGCTTAGTGACTGTTCGAAGTTACAATGGCACTGAAAAAAGTGCCCCCCAAGTCACAGCCAAGCAACACATCTGCCTGCCCGCCCGGCGGCGCTCTTCCTCCCATCTGAGGTTTTCATTGTTGTGAGCATTTCTGTTGAGGATTGGCAGCGGGGGTGGGGTGGGGGTGTTTGGTTTTTATTCCCCCCGTTTGCTGGGTGGTTGCAGCAGGTTTTGGTCATTTACATGACCCTGGGACACTGTGACTATCATAAATATGAATCAGTGGCCAAGCATCTGAATGTAAATCACAAGACCTTGGAGATGCTGCAACATTCCAGCTGATCGGCGCTTCTTCTGGGCCCAGTTGGAGCCTGGCACTGATCCTGGCGCTTCCACTGAGCCCTGACAGCCCCGAAGAAGGGCTGATCCTGGCGCTTTCGCTGAGCCCTGACAGCCCTGCAGCTCCAGCCATCTCTCGCTCAGGCTTGTGCGGTGCTGCCACCAGTTCAGCTCATTCCCCTCCCCCCTTTTCTAGGATGGTCGCGTACCACCTGCCATGTGCCAATGTACCACAGGTGGTACCCGTACCACTGGTTGAAAAGCCCTGTAGTCCAACCCCCTGCTCAGGCAGGAAACCCTATACCATTTCAGACAAATGGCTGTCCAGTCTCTTCTTAAAAACTTCCAGTGTTGGAGCATTCACAATTTATGGAGGCAAGTTATTCCACTGATTAATTGTTCTGTCAGGAAGTTTCTCCTTAGTTCTAGGTTGCTTCTCTCCTTGATTAGTTTCCATCTGTTGCTTCTTGTCCTGCCTTCAGGTGCTTTGGAGAATACTGTAGCTTGACTCCCTCTTCTTTGGGGCAACCCCTGAGATACTGAAACACTGCTATCATGTCCCCCCTCGTCCTTCTCTTCATTAAACTATAACAGACAGAAGCTGGGATACTGTTCAGAGATTAACATTTTAAGTAGCTCTTGAGTATGCATTCAGCATTACCATGATGATGAAGGAGACAGGTCCCAGGAAGCTCCACAAGAACCCACGTTCCCTGGAAAGCCAGCAGCTGTATGGAAAGACAGAGGGTGGCTTGTTTTGTAGGTAAATGGACGCACATAGTTATTTTCTGACAGTTCACTTAGATCTGTTCTTCTGCCCCTTTAGACATTCACTTTCCTAAGAAAGCTTACTACCAGTCATGCAGGAATGTGTAGAAGGGGAAGGTCTATGTCACAGGGACTTAAGGCTGGCCAGCATAGCTTCCTCTACTTGCCTGCTCAGCCCTTTTACTTCACAAGCAATTCTAGCATGACATGCACCGGAAAACCTACTGACATTCATATTCAAGACCTTGTCACCTGACCTTCAGTGCACAATACACAGATACTCTCTAGCTCATGACTGGGCTGGGGGGGGATAGGGATCCAAATTCAGGACTCACTTTTTTCTGCTATATCCTTTGCTGTTGATGGCAGCGGAGATGCCCACCAAGACAGCTGGGAGCCCATATCCCAGAAGGAAGATGTGCCAGTGTTTAAGGCTATGTGTGTTGAAGACCTGAACTACCATCAGGTAGAGCTGCACACCCTCCAGTAGCATCCAACAGAAGACGCAGAGGAAGAAATAATGGAGCAATCCAGCAACTACAACACATGCCATCTAAAAAAGGAAACAAAGATTAGACTGAGCTGTTCTGGTAGCAGTTTCAAAATCCAGTCCAGTCTTCAAATATCCTTCTTCTTCCCAGAGGAGGACATCTTTCATACCCAGGAAAATTATGTTCAAACAGAAATGTGATGCACTCTTTATTCCTACTCCTTTAAGATCCAACAGCACCCCTTCATACTTGTGCCTCTTGGCATTCTCACTGTTTGGTCTGTTAGATACTCCAATCATGAAGGCGCAAGCACGGACCTTCATAATGTTAGGAACTGGACTGGACTTACAGGGTACTAACTGACCATAGAAGGAGCTGGCAAACAATACTGTATTTATATGTCCATTAGGCAACTTTCCCCTATGCAAGTCAATGGCACTTAACCTGGATAGTGGGAAGGAGGAAAGTTAGCACCCCACTGTCAGCTAAGAGGCTAGAAATCCAAACTCTCCCAAATTCTCTATTAAAGCAGGGGGAGATGCATTTTTAACGATATTCTAAAAGTGGGAGGCAAGGTCTCATTTTTCTAATGCACATTATAGAGGACTGGCCACATTAAATGGAGGATTTTCCACTTATTTCTCTCAGCTGTTTTCCTCAGAATGCCTCCCCCAAATGCGTAATCAAAATCCTTACCAGTTACTTACCGTATTGCTAGATATCCCAGCGCCCAAGAAGATGACATGGGCAGCAAAGAGGGCCAGGCAAAGGTGGAGGTGGATGGTGGTGCGGATACCTTGGATGGCACGGCAGAACAGGAAGGTGAGGATGGAGAAGAAGAGGCAGATCAGAGATACAACCAGCCCAATCTTTGTGATGATAGACAGGCCCCAATCCTAGAGTAAAGACCAGTATAGGTAATTAATTAATTTAAGGCAATGCAGTAGAAGTCAGGTCTTGTCAACTCTACTTGAAAGAACCTTACAGAAGCTTCAGGTAATAAGAAGCGAATGATTTAAACTTAAATTGCCAATAGCTAGTGATAATTCTTTGATGCTTCAGGAGAAGATAAGAAGAAGAAGGGCTCAAAAATCAGACTGAAAAGTAGCTGACCAGCTCAGATCTCTGGCTGAAGTGTTTTTTGCCTCCTTCCCCTTAAATACCAGGAAGCTGATTCTCTTTAAAGCAGTTAATTCCAATAAATACTCTAATCAAAATCTTGCCTTGCTACCAATTTTATCTCAATACTTTTGCTTTAAGAGCCCATCATCTTCACTACTTCCATGGTCTTGCTACTATTTTTGTAGATCCCTCGACAGTGAAGGTCCCACAGGCGCCATTTTCCCAATATTCAGTTGGAATAGGCCAGTCTTTCTAATAGCCAACCAACTGAATTGAGCCAAGCCATCTGCAAAAAAAGGTCTCCTTCTCTCTTTTCTTGCCATCTTGGGCTTGCTTCTACCTTCTGTCATGACATTTCGTCTGAGCCTTGGATGCCTGGATGTTCTCCTAGTGGAGGGCTACACTCCAAATGAACGAACAAACTGGTCAACCAAGGAGAGGCATGATGACGGTGAGAATGGAGCAATGGGTGGAAGTGCAAATATTTATTTATTTTGACTTTGGTGCCACCCAACTCCAGGTTGACTCTGGATGGCTCAGCCCCGTAGGCACCCAAACACTTTTCCCCCGGACAGAAAAATGACGAGTGTTGTCTGCTTGCAAATGGAGTGCTCTGAAATGGAGCTCCGTTTCCAAGCAGATGAAGCTTCCAGTCTCCTTCTGGGTGAAAATTGCACGGCAGAGCCAGAGGCACAGGATGGGGGAGGTAGGCCATCCAGACTTGTTGTGCGGCTGCCTGGCTTGTGGGAGGCTCCCACAGCGGCACCGGCAGCAGGTGAAGGCAGAGGCATGGGGGGAAGGCAGGCAATCCTGATGCACTGCCCACTCCTTCCCCCCATGCCTCTGCCTGCTGCTGGTGCCGCCACGCGAGCCTCCCATGAGCCGGGAGGCCGCGCAGCACGTCTGGATCGCCTGCCTCCCCCCCACCTCTGCCTTCGCACTCAGACTTACCGATGCTGCGCCAAGGGGCCGTCGGGCGCTCGCCGCCTCATGTGCTAGCCACGTCCACCCCCCGAGGCTTATTTTCGGGGTAAAGCTTATATTAGGCCCACCCCAAAAAATCAGGCTAGGGCTTATTTTTGGGGTGGGTCTTATTTTCAGGGAAACGTGGGGTACACAAGGAACTCCAGTTATCAATAACTAATCAATCCTACATCCATTTTTTTTTAATTTCCTTTCCCTGACTAAACCCAGTCCTAAGTTCTCTACTCTCTAGTTGGGACTTGCCTCCACATCATAGAAGGCCATGAGCACTGCAAAGCTGGTCAGATGGTTGCAGCGGCAATATGTCCTGTTAGCACTACTGATGTTCAGACGTTCACAACCTTCTTGAGACCAATTTCCACCCGTTTCAGTGGGCTTCCAAAAAGCACAAATCACCTTCTCAACGTTTGATTCCTAGAATATGGGGACAGGATGAATGAGTCAATATTATCAAATACATACAAATTTGAACTCTGCGTATATTGTCAGCCTTCCCAGGTAGACCAGATAGGAAACTTGAGCAGATGAGCTAATCCTACTTTACTATCAGGCTATATTAACAGAATCTGGCAAATCTACAGGTAAAAATCTGCTGACTCCTTTGCAGATTTAGGCAGGGTCTTTTCTGAGCCTCTTTCTCCATCCAGTACAGATAATCCTTGACTTAACTACCATTCATTTAACAATAATTCAAAGATACAACAGCCTTGGAGAAAGTGACTTACAACCCCTCCTCAAAGTTGCATCAACCCCATGGTCACATGACTGCAGTTCAGGCGCTTGGCAACCGGCTTCCATTTACAATGTTTGCAGGGTCTTGCCATCATGGGATCATGGTCTGCAGCTTCCCAACCAGCTTCTGATAAGCGAAGTCGATTGAGGAAGCTGTATTTGCTAAATGACTACATGATTCGCTTAACAGGCACACGATTTGCTTAATGACCACAGTAAAAATGGACATAAAATGAGACGTGGTCATGAGATGACTCATTTATGACTGCATTCCTTAGTGACTAAAATTCTGGTCTCAATTGCGGTTGTAAGTCGAGGATTATTTTTATCCAGCTGCGGGCTATGCCCTCTCTGATCTGACCATTCCAAAGGCCGCATCTCTTCACTGGTCTACCAAGGTCTTTCCGACATATTATTGCACATACAGAAAGCAAGAAAAGCAGACAAATTGGGCTTCCTGGTCTTTAATGTGAATTAGTGTCAAAATCCACCCAACAGCTCACCTCTGAGTGTGGCTAAGGAGAAGACAAATTATATAGTACTTTCTCTTCAGGAAAGGTTGTTTCCTTGGGTAAATGGCTCTTACGGGAGTAACAAAAGGATATACTATTGCCATTCTCTAGATCCAGGGAAGACAAAGAAGAAATGGATACTCACTGGTTCTGGATGGTTAAAGGAGAACGTGACGGGATTGCTTAGGGCAGTGGTCTCATTATGGCCTACAAAAGCAGATGCCACCTTGGACAATACTTTATAGTTGGGCTTGCCGGTCTCTTCCTTTGACTTTACAATTTGCTCCCAGTCGCTTCCTTCAACATGTGCACCTGTCAGGATGGATCCCAGGTCCTCATAAGACAGGAGGCCAACAACACTGGGGCCTGAAAAGGGAAGAGTGATTGAGATGTGAGGATGCAGAAGCTGCTGGGATGAGACAATCCAATGCCGGTCTACAGTACATAAGTAGTGAGTAAATTCTGTCTGTTTAAGGTGGCAATGGAGAGAAATAGTATGTGCAAATTCAGGTCTATGTGGAAAAATAATCTTCGCAAACAGAACTAGCACAGTAGGGAATTTTCTCTTGGACAATCTACCTTGGAAAGATATTCATATAGAATTTTTTGATACTCCTCTCTCTCCCCATAGTGTCATTGTACAATTGCCAGTTAACAATTGTTGTGGTGTTAATAATTTATTCTGTTGCTCTAGATATTTGAATTCTGTACAGACTTTAACTGTCATTTTTAAGAATTTAAAGAATATAGTATATTCAATTGCTTATTGGAATAGTGGCAAATTACAATTTTAATGTTATTTGTATATCCCTAGTTTATTCACCTGATTCTATCCCTTTGCCTCTTTTGTGCCTTTTCCTTCTGTTTATATATTTTCTCCATGTTCAATAATATATATACTATTGTGGTCATATATCATTTAGTTTTAAGAAACCTATCAACACAAAAAGCTGCCTGTCATTTCTTCAAAACTTAAGAATGGTCTTGCATCAGACTGAACATCCATCTAGTTTAGTATTCTGTTGATAGACATGAATAAAGAGATGTTTCTGGGAAACACTTTAAAAAACTATTTCTTCGCCATACATTTAAATCCAACACTGTACATTCCATACATTTAAATCCAACATTGTGTCCTGAATATTTTCCTAATTAAATTCCTTTGAACATCCCTCTCATCTAATATATAGTAAGAAAAAAAATTAACCATCTTTCCTCTTGCCATTATTTTTCTTAAAATAAAACATTGACATGTCTTCACAATCAGTTGTTTTCCAGTATTTCACTTTTCTTAACAATGTTCAGAACAGCTGCAAAGGAAATGCTCCCACGTTTTCCCCTCTCCTGGCCCACCCTGGTTCCTTAATTCTATTTATCTGCCCATTCCTTTGGATAGGCAATCTATGGGTCAAAGAAACCTATTTCTCTACCTAAGTCACACATGTCAAACTCGCGATGTCGCGCAACGTATCGGAACGGTTTTGCCATTGCCGGCAATGGGGTGGGTGCGGCTTCCGGATGATGCGTCCGGCCCGCGGGCCGGCAGTTTGACATCCCTGGCCTAATTGATGAAGGGTGAGGCAGAAAAGGAATGGATTCACAGGTCTACTAAGAAAAATAAGGCAAGTAGAAGGAAGGCAGGAGAGAGTAAGAAAGAAAATCACTCTGCAGCAACCTATATCTCTGGCAAGAACTCTTTTGCAGCAGCCTGCTGAAAGTTCCACCTTCCACTGACATAAGTTTCTTATCTAATTACTCCTAAGACAATGTGGCTTCCCAAAGAGAAGAGAATTTTCCCAGGCCAAAGTCTGTCCCAGAAGCTTTGAACCCAAGAAGAGCTTTTCCCTTTTGCTGCCTTCCCCTCAGCTTTTCCAGGCCATTACAGGCGTCCTGTTCTTCTCACAGCATCACCCGCATACAAGGCCTTTGTTGTACTGCCACAGCTTTTTACCTTCTCCCTTCTTGCTTGCTGCTTCCCAGCTTATTTCCATCTGTGTTTCCTCCAGCCACAGTTGCGCCAGACCTTGGCTTGTGTTCTCAGCTGTCCTGATTTCCATCACCAGCTCTGTTACGAAAGAAAAGGAAGATGACAAGGTTAGCAGGGAACAGAAAAGGGCAAGTGGCGGGGTCTCTGAAACAAGCATCACTTTCCTCAAAATATTCCAACTATTCAAGCAACGGATACTCAGCAAGGGACGGGGGGGGGGGGGAGAGAGAAATCTATCATAAAGCAGACTGAAACTGGGGAAGGAGAGCTAATTTCATATTTCAAAATTGTCCTCCTCCTTCTCCTTAAATATGATATAGTATAACTCCCAATATTCCCAATCAGCCACAGTCTAATTCAGTGGTTCTCAACCTGTGGGTCGGGACCCCATTTGGGGTCGATCGACCATTTCATGGGGGTCGATCGACCCCAAATGTCCGCCATTTTTTTGTCCACCATTTTTTTTGTCCGCCATTTTTCCCCCCTTTTCCGGCGGGTGCCTTACCTCCCTTGGGCTGGGCCAGCTGGTGGTCAGCCTGCTCCGTCTCTGCCGCTTGCCAGCTACGCCTCGGCCGGCGCAGGGGGCAGAACCACACATGTGCGGCGCTCCCGGGCAGGGAAAGTCCTCGACTTATGATCGGTTGGATAGTCCTCGACTTACGACCGGTTTAGTCCTCGACTTACGACCGGCTTAGTCCTCGACTTACGACCGGTTGGGGTCGCGGCATTAAAAAGGTTGAGAACCACTGGTCTAATTCATCTGAAAGGCATCACATTGGGGCTGGCTAAGACACAAAGGAGGTGTCTTTGCATTGAATAAAGGAGAGAATTGCTGGGCAAGGTCCTGAAGGAAATCTCAAATAACTCCAACTCTGTATACTAACTTGTGCCTGCTTTGGGCTTGATGGTGGTGGTTCCATTGGGTAGGGAAAACGCAAACATCCTGAGCCTGGCCTCCATCAGCTCCATTATCTTAGTCGCCACCTGGTGACTTTGCTGCTTATTCTCAGCCTCCATCAAGTTCAACAGATTGTCCACTTTGTCCAGTGTTTCCTAAAACATGTTGACATTTGTGTTTATGAGAAAAGCTGGCGCTCAGAGACAATGAGTCATTGTTAAATCCACTGTACGTAGATAAGCACAGGACTGGGGAATTCCAGTGGGATTTTTGAGCATGTGAGATCTAAGAAATAATCTGCCTCTTTACCAGCAGCCAACTGAATATGCCTGGTGATGTCTCCATTGTTATCGCATTAAAAGATTCGTTTAATTAAAAGGTAATCTAGCATGCTACAAAGCAGAGCACTGGTATCAAGCATCATATTTGTGGCCATGAATGCCTCTGGGTCTGTATACTTAGAATATACAGTTTTTGGAGAAAAGAAGAAAAATGCTTTATCAGAGGGGCGTCCTTCCACTCCCCCCAAAGGACAAATGCTGATATGGAAAAAGAGTCTTTTCTGGTCTGTAGGGACTATGAGTGGTCAATGCCTCCAATGGAGCCATTTGATGGGTGAGCCACATTTTGACCCCATATGGTTGAGGATCCACAGATGAGAGTATGAGCTTTCCTCATCCTACAGTTGTTTTGGAATTAGAATACCCACCATTTCCAGCAATCCCAGCTAATGAACACGTTGGATGTGATGATGACAGTTATGGCCACAAAACAGCTAGAAAGAACTTGAGTGACAAAACCAAAGAAAAACAAAACAAAACAACCCAAACAAGATTGGTGTGTCCTCAAAATTGGCCATCAAACAATAATCTCCCCATTTTTACAGTAAAATTATTTCAGCTTTTCCAAATTTCTCGCAAAACCACTCTGGATTAATTGAGATTGGGTGAGGGGAGATATTCTGCACATTAATTCCTTATTCAAAGCACAACTGCTCAAGAGCGGGTCCCTTGATTTATTTTATTTTTTATATATATTTTGTATCCCACCTTTATTATTTAAGACAAATTAAATATATTAGTTTATAAATTGATTTGTATCCTCTTGCATTACATAAATGATCACCGTAAGAACAGCAATTGTAAACAGCAAGCTTCATTCCCCTGCATTCTTTATGAAATAGGCATTTTGGTGATATGTAAACTGTTTTCTTCCTCATTAACAACTGGCTGGGATCTATTTAGAAATTCACAAGTAAAGGATCTATAAACACAGCCCCAGCCAGGAGTCTGTCAATAGTGTTATAGAGTACATGTTTCTATATACTACAGATACGCACTTGAATTAATTTTTGCATGGATTTTAACTCCCACTCAAATATTTTTCCCTTGCTTTTTAGAAGTCATATAAAATAGTACATGTGACTGGAATAACAATAGTTTTAGTTGTTGTTTACGTTTTAAAGGAATTCATATAAAAGTATTATTGTACATTATTTTGGGAGGCAGAAATATCTTCCTCGGAGTTAACTGCTGGTGACAGGGATTTATTTACCTGTTTGCTCACTTCTTACTTACCAAAATATTTGCATGGAGCTTCTGTGGTTCCAGAATAAAAGTTTTGTCTATTTGATGCTACCACCACTTCTCTTTTTCTCTCACTCCTTCTCCCTGTCCATCTTCCTTATGAAGCGGACAGCTGGGATTGGTCTTAAACAGCCTCTAAACTAAGCTGACCTGCCAGCATTGAGCAATCCTTGTTTGTGTCAAGTGACGGGGAAGGGGTGGATGGCGCAGGGAATCTTCAGATAGAAGAGAGGTTGGAAGGCAGGGATGCAAATGAAGAAGGCTAAGGCAGGGTCTGCAGCATTGGGAAGCAGAGGTTTCTTGGCTGTGGGAGAAATTAAAGGCTTGCCAAGTGCCTAAAAGACGTGAACCCGATTGCTGCTTCTTTTGTATCATATCTAGATTGATGGTCCATTTATTGGAGAGTGGAAGGAAATACCCACACACAGATGCATAAAAGAACCATTGTTGTTTGACTAGCATATGATAACTGGCTACCCTTTTAGATGGGGACGTTGTGCAATCATGTGCAGTGTGAAAAATGCCAAAGATATGAACCGCTTTAGGTCTTAATACATGATGGATGCAGGGTAGGCAGGGCAGGGAGCTGCCTTCAACGCATCTCCTTGTCAGCTTGTTTTCTTACATATTTTCTCAAGCTGCCTTTTGCTGTAAGCCAGGAACTAAACTGAAAACATACCCACAAATGCCTCTTCGAATCCATTTGGCTGCTCACATTTGGCGGTGAACCAAAGAGGTTTCCCAGCTGAGTAGTAATGTTGCAAAAGAAACTCTGCAAAGCAACACCAGGCAAACACCATTAGGGGACAAGGGGAGAGCCATGATGAAGAAATATGAAATATATATGAGGGGGAGAACCATGGTGAAGAAATATGAAATACAAAATATAAATATGAAATATGATACACACACACACACACTACACTGGATAGAAAACGTTTCAAAAGCCCTATTAACCAACAAATACTGTACATTTCAAGAATAAAATTCCAGGAGAACAATTTCCACAAATCCTATAATCAGCCCTTCTCTGTCTTAGTGAACAAATAAACCAGCACTAGGTATATTTAAGGCTCCCAGCGATTTGGATCCAAGCTCCAAATAAGCATGAGAGAACATGAGAGCATGGCTATACTATGACATCTTAAAACAGTAGCATTTTTTCCCAATATCACATGCTCAGTCCAATCCTGCAGAGATCTAATGTATTTTATCCCTACACAGCATAAATGTAGAAACCATGTACTGTATGCCATTTAATTCTGTATCCTGAAAAATCCTACTGTGTTTTCTTTAAAAAAAAAACCCCACTATCTTCTGATCCTTAAGATTACAAGGCAAAACACAAACTCTTAGTAATTACTAGGTTGAGGCAGTTCAATGAGATAACTACATGCAACTCTTCACAATTTGCTTAACCAAGGCAAATCATGTCATTAACTTGTTTTGTAATGTTAGGTGTTGTTAGTGCTGTTTATTTAAAAAGCCATTAGGCTGCTGCTCAGGAGGCAATGATTTGGCCAAGTTAGAAAGCTAAGTCTGGAGATCCACGATAGAAATACTGTTACATCCAGAGATGTGGTGGCCCACCGGGACCAAAATAGATGAAACAGATGCCTCTTTTCTCCTGTGCCTCTTCACATGAATTACAATGAGAAGGAATTCAAGCCATCTCCAGTGAGAATGCCTTTTAGATCCAGCTAATGCAGTGGTTCTCAACCTGTGGGTCGGGACCCCATTTGGGGTTGATCGACCATTTCACGGGGGTCGCCAAGCAAGGCTGTTCGCCATTTTTTTGTCCACCATTTTGTCCGCCATTTTCCAGCGGGTGCCTTACCTCCCTTGGGCTGGGCCAGCTGGTGGTCGGCCTGCTCCATCTCTGCTGCTTGCCAGCTACGCCTCGGTTGGCGCAGGGGGCGGAACCACGCATGCGTGGCGCTCCTGGGAAGGGAAAGTCCTCGACTTACGACTGGTTGGGCAGTCCTCGACTTACGACCGGTTTAGTCCTCGACTTACGACCGGTTTAGTCCTCGACTTACGACCGGTTTAGTCCTCGACTTACGACCGGTTGGGGTCGCGGCATTAAAAAGGTTGAGAACCACTGAGCTAATGGGTGTGTCACGCCAAAGGGAATGAAAGGGCTACATAGCCTCCTAGCCTAAGCCCATAATGTAGCCCTTGCACAGCATGCTGCATTTATATGCCTCCCTCCACAAGCAGGAACTCCAGGGGTGGAACAGGGATGTTCTCACAATAGTGGGAGTCTCCAGGGTACAATGACAACTTCCTCTTTGTCAATGGAGCAGCACTTACACAACATCTTACAGTCACTCCACCATAAGGGAAATTTAGTATTATTCTATGCGTACCATAAATTTAATCCTGACTTCAAGGTCTAAGCATTTAGGACTCACCTGTTTATCTGAACAGTTATTCCACGAAGGTATGGGATAGTTGAATTCTGGGGACAGAACATACAATTTATGGAAAAATGTTTGTTTTTTTTTTAAATTTCTAAAAATCTCTTCTTTTACTTATTTTCCGAAGCAAGGTTATACTTTGTATTGATCAGATCACTTTAACTCTATTTCTGAGTGGAAACTAATAGGACCAAGTCTCAGGGCACCGTGAAAAAAGATCTTGCTTTGCCCTGATAATGCAACTGAAGAGAAACTACGCTTGGTACTTTTCCCATATTCAATGCTTTTTATTGCTTTGGTCCTCTTAATGGTGCCACAAGGCAGATTGCTATTAGTCTATTAAAAAATAAAATAAAGGCTGAATGAGATTTGCCAAAAATCATCATGCCAGTCAAGGGCAGAAGTTTTCCAGCAACATTTAATCCAGAGAACCAGCATGGCACAGAAACAGCATGGCAGAAGCAAAAAGGGGATGAGAAAATGGTTGTTCTGTATATATAAAAGGCCCAAGGTTTGGTCCCTGGAAAAGATACCATTCTTTTGATTGCTGGGTTGGTACAGCTGCCCATTTGTCATGGTTTGTTTTCTGAATGTGACCCAACCGTTGGCTCTTGCTCCAAAAATGTAAAAGCCTGAATACTAGGAGCAGCATAAAATATGTTTAAACAGGAGACAGGGAACTGTGCAATTTGAGAAGATTTTTCTCTGATGATGACTTGCTGAGTTGCTAAGTCTGGTAATCCATATCTAACCAGGACTATGCTGGAATATATTTTAACTGCGTGAAACCTGTTTATCCAAATCATATTGGCCCCATAGATTTTCCCATCTGAACTGCTGGGTCAGGGCTCTGGCAAGCAATGCTCCTAACCCCAGAACAGCCTTAATGAGGCAGAACTGGAGAGCAGAGGGGGGCTAATTGTGGCCAATCACTTAGGCTGTAAGATAAAGCTGTCAAACCAGAGTTCCAGGGGAGTGGAAACTTGTCACCCCTGCAGAGATGAGCCATCAGTGGAAGCTGTAAGAAAATAATGTGCCCAGGTAGCCGACGTAGATGTGGCCTGAACAGAAAATGATCGCTCTTAACAGGTCTGGAATCAAATTGTTTTTATATGCAGGGAGCCAGTAAAACAAGCTGAGCAAGGAAAGCAGTTCCCGTTATATTGAAACAATCAATGTATCTTTTAAAATTATTTTTCCCTCGCCTGAATTTAATTTTATTATAATAAATACAAACCAAATTATAATGCTATTTTAAAGCAAACACAAGCATGCAATTTTTTTAAAAATTTAAGACAACAATGATCTGGAAATACAAGTTAACATGAAAGTCCCTTCTCATACTGTCTGTAAAAAAAACAAGATAAGAACAAAGCTGACCATTGCAAAAACAAAGGACAGAAAAAAAGAGATTTAACAATCTAGGAAGCCAACTACTTTATTAGATAAGATGGGGTGAAAAATTAAGCCAAAGAAGATTTGAACCTTGCCTTTATGAAAACAACTACTTTTTGTTTTATCTCAATTGCTGAAATGCTTTTGATAATGGTTTCCAAGTTTCTTCAATAAATCTCATTTATTCTCAGTTCTTGGACCATCGTATGTAAGGGAAATTAGCTAAGTGGTTCCAGCCCTGCCTTTAGCTTGTTGCCATTGTGGGGCTGTTCTCTCTAAAAAGGCTGCTTCTGCCCTTAATTTCTTTACTCCATCTTCTCCTTTCAAATTTACCTTTGCATTTTATCTTTGTTTTATTTTCCTGGACAGCATTGGAATATTGGAAATATCCTGGCGGGCAGTAACATGAATAACTTCCTTCGTAGTTGATGCAATGGGCAGTTTCATCACAATGATTTCCATTACACTCATTAATATCTGTTAAAAACAAAAGAGGGATGAATATAAAACCAATGTAAGATTACTTAATGCAAAAAGGAAAATGAGAAGGGGAAAAAAACCCAACTAAACAAAAAAGCTCAGACTTGTTACAAGTATTCCCGCCTGTGAGGTATTCTGTATGTCTGACATTCTAATCATGCTTCCGTAAACCAACATAACACATCCACGTGGATTGCAACAGACCAAGGTATATATCTCAGTTTGTCTTTAAATTGGAGCTGATAGCCTCTCTCTAGGACAAGCTTCTGAAAAGGAATGGGAAATTGCTCCATGATCATACAAGGCCCACCGTGTGTTCCAAATACTTTCCTGGTTACAGAAGTGAAACTGTAAGCCTCAGTATGTGCAAATATTGATGTATAAATTAGAATCACAGGACACTTAGCTTTGACAATTTTGTAGAGGTATTTTAAAAAGTGCCATCAAAAATTTATAGGTAATCCTCAACTTACGACAGTTCGTTAAGTGACTGTTCGAAGTTACAACAGTTCTGAAAATAATGACTTATGACCATTTTCACACTTAAGACCGCTGCAGCATCCCCTTGGTCACGTGATCAAAATTCAAACACTTGGCAACTGGCTCATATTTATGACGGTTGCAGTGTCCTGGGGTCATGTGATCTCTTTTTGCGACCTTCTGACAAACAAAGTCAACGGGAAAATCAGATTTGCTTAACAACCGTGTTACTAACTTAACAAATGCAGTGATTCACTTAACAACTGTGGCAAGAAAGGTCATAAAAGGGGGCAAAATCCACTTAACAAATGTTTCGCTTAGAAATGGAAATCTGGGGCCCCATTGTGGTCATAAGTTGAGGATTGCCTGTACTTACACATTCAGAACCTATTCACCAAGAAGTTTTGCAGATGATTTGGGTTCAATTTTACAAGACCCCCTGAAAGGGACTGAGTTTTTGATGGAAAAAATTTGGAAGACTTTAGTTTACTAGCAGATTTCAGGATTGATAAACAAATAGGTTGGTAAAAAAAAAATGTGACTATACAAAATCAAGACAATCTGATGAAAAAAAAAATTAAATTGAGAAAAAGGTTAAATATTTGAGAGTTATCTTGACTAATATGAATTGTATGCTTTTTCAAAATAACTAATGAAGTTAGAAATGATATATTGACATGGGAAATTTACAAGTGTGATTTTGGGCAAGAGTTTCGATGATTAAAGAGAATATTTTACCTATAATGTTATTTCTATCCCAGACACCATACCCATACTGATGACTTATGTACCATTTAAACAATGGCAAGAAGAAATTTTTAAATTTCTTTGGCAGAAGAAACACAAACTCTCTTGCAAAATGCTGAAGAAAGAGGGGGGTTAGGATTACCAAATTTAAAATTGTATTTTGCAACTTCTTGTTCAGTTTAGATAAAAGACTGAGTGACTTTAAGAGATTATTGGAATTGGAAAGACATGATTTAAGATTTGGATGCCAAAATGATGCCAAAGTTAAGCTGAAAGGTAGAGTTCAAAAAGTATTTTACAACATGCATATTGAAATGACAGTTAAACCAAAATTGTTAATTTATGCTGACCTGCTGAATTTTTCCAAAGAAGAGCTTAATTTAAAAACAACAAAAATTGTAGTTGGAAGGATTTAGATGCCATTGGTTCCCTAACTTCAGCTAACGGAAAGATTTAAATTAGATAAGAATTATGAATTTGAAAAGAGTAAAATCTATTTGATATTGAGCTACGTACAAATGATGATATTATTGCTAAGATGTATAAAATTTATTGAAAATGGAAACAAAGGACGAAAAGTTAAAGACTGTATGATAAAATGGGTAAAAAAAATGGATAAAATAAGCCCAATGGGAGACTATGTGGAAGAAATAGTTGAAATTTACACTGAATTATAATCTTGAAGAGATTTTTTATAAAATGATGTATCATTGATAAATGACACTGGATGAAGTAAAAAATGTACGAGGGAATTTTGAATATTCGTTGGAAATGTAATCAAAACGAAGGGACATTTTTTTTCATCTTTGGTGGGCAGATAACAAAGGTAGAAAATATTGGGGATCAAGTATTTATTTTGATGAAGAGGATTTTAAAAGGGAATGTACAATTGAAACCATAGGCTTTTCTTTTGGGCTTAAAAAATGGAAACATCTTATGGAAATTTGATCTTATACAGGTAGTTCTTGACTTACAACCACAATTGAGCCCAAAATTTCTGTTGTTAAGTGAGATATTTGCTAAGTGAGTTTTGACCCATTTTATGACTTTTCTTGCCTCAGTTGATAAGTGAGTGACTCAGTTGTTAAGTGAATCCAGCTTCCCCATTGACTTGGCTTGTCAGAAGGTCGCAAAATGGGATTACATGACCCTGGGACACTGCAACCGTCATAAATATGAGTCAGTTGCCAAGAGTCTGAATTTTGATCATGTGACCATGGGGATACTGGAAAGGTTGTAACTGTGAAAAATAGTCTGAAGTCACTTTTTCCAATGCCGTTGTAACTTTGAACGGTCACAGAATGAACTGTTGTAAGTCGAGGACGACCTGTACATGATTATGGCAGTGAAACGTTTATATGCTTAAAAAGGGGAAGGATTTACAAACAGCTATAATGGAAGAATGGATACTGAAGCTAGTAGAATTTGAGATAGTAAAATTGATAGCCTTGCTGAAAGATAATGCTTCGACAAATTTTATTTCTACTTGGAAACCACTTTGGGATTTATTATAAGAAACTGAAAGAAATTAAAAGTTGATTTTGGGATCTGATGATTAGAATTTTATGGAACTATGGAAATAAGGTATATAAATGTAAATCTTACAGTAAGAGTTTGATGTATTTTTCTACTTACATCTGTACCAAAGAACATTAGAAACCATTGTTTTTCTATTTTTCCTTCTTTTCCTTTCATTTTTTTTCTTGAACCTTCAGTTTTTTCCTCTCTGAACTTTTAATTTTTTTATGTTTATCTTTTAATTTGTACTTTTTAAAGAATCAATGTAGTTATATATTTAAAAGGAATGTATTCAATAATTATTGGTAAAGATATTGAGAATTATAAGATAACAAAAATGAGATAATGAATTCCACAGTCCCATGCCCTCAGGATTTTTAAGCAGCATGGCCTTGATTGTCCAAGGGTTGCTAGGAGTCATCGGCTACTACTTATGTTGCAAGTCAAGGTGACTGTAATGTTACCCCTCTCCATTGCCTCAAAGAATACCTCAACCCATAGGCTGAAGTGGACAATTACCAAATAATTTTCAAATACGGTAATATGATTTTTCTCAGCCTCTTCTCTCACATAATACACAAGCCCCTCAAAGATAGTCATCTCTTTATGATAGAATATAGTTTCCAGCCGGACTGTGAACAGATGGCAACCAGGAGTAAACCAAGATATTTTGCTGCCCATGCTAAAACAATCACATCTTCTCACCACTCTAGATTCTGGATGTTTTAAACTAACATAATTGGCAATTGCATCTTATTTCAGCATTGCAGATGGAACAGTTGTCCTCCACTGATGCTGAGGGAATTGACTGGCAAGTCACTCTGCCTGGGATCATAAACTTTTCTCCTAATTTCTCAACACTATTGAGTAACTATTCACTTCTCATTCCCTTAGGTACAGCTGCTTGGATCACAAGGACACAGTGCATGGACAATGTATATCACAACGTATGTCATGGATGATCGTCATATACCTGCTTGCTCCATGAAAGACCTTTCCCAACGTCTTTTTGATCCATTAAAAAAAATGAGCAAGATGACTTTTGACAATTTTCAGCTATTTAATGTAACTTTTCCTGACTAACAACAGGAATTAATTTTCTTCCATTTTAACCTTATGAATGGAAGAAATGAAGCTACTAGACCAGGGGTAGGCAACCTTGGCTCTTTTATGACTCGTGGACTTCAACTCCCAGAATTCCTGGGCCAGCATGGCTCAGCTTGGAAACTTTCCTTTTCCCCTCAGCATAGCTGGCTCAAGAATTCTGGGAGTTGAAGTCCACGAGTCATAAAAGAGCCAAGGTTGCCTACCCCTGTACTAGACAAACCGAGACAACAGATATAAGTTTCTCTGATTTGATCTCCAGGCCTGTTGTGACTATATAACTTCTGTAATTCGAATCCCAGCCACTCTATGGAATTCTAGGAGTTCTAGACACAGCACATTTGGAGGATGCCAGCTGGCAAAGGCTTATGTAAGAAAGCCAACCAGTGCCAAGCTCTTACTAGAAAGAGAGACACTAGTGACTTCAACCAGCACAAACATGCTCTGAAGTAAAATCTCAAACATATATGACAGAAAAGAAACTGATTCTCCATAATAATTCATGCCCCAAACGTTGCCGTTTCTAAAAATGTTTCAAATAATAGCCCACAATCATGGTTATTTTAAAGATAAATACTTTTCTCAAAAGTCTTGTTCTGTTTGGCAACTTCAAGTGCAGGGTCCTCGGTGCTCTCTGAGCTTGCTTGTTTTTTTGGCAGATGTTTCATCACCCAAGCTAGGTAACATCATCAGTGCACTGCATCATCAGTGAGCACTGATGATGTTACCTAGTTTGGGTAATGAAATGTCTGCAAAAAAACGAGCAAGCTCAGAGAGCACAAAAGGGCCCTCATTTCAACCCTGAGCTGCAGATATTCTCCTTTATTGGTAACATTCTTGTGCATTTTGACCATCTCTGGCTCTACAATCACTTCAAAATCATTCAGCAAAAGTAATTAATTACAGAAGTGATTTGTCACCCTCCAATGTATTAGTGTGGTTGCGTAAAATATAAGTTGTATTCTCCTTCAGCTGTACCTCTGCATAGCTTTCTATCATCTTTAGGGCTCTTTCCATATCCTTGCTTGCATTTACAGTGGTAATCCCCTTCAGTGTTAATGCAGCTCCCCTTGGGACCACAGGTGGAAATATTTCTCTTGCACTCATCAATGTCTGCAAGAAGAAAGTAGTGCTAAATGAAACATGGCAAAATGCCACAACCGATTATGCTAGCATCTTCCAACCTGGGTATTTATTCCCCAGAGGAGAAAGGACTGTAGCTCCCGGAATTCCCCATCCAGCATGGCCGCTGAGGATTATAGGAGCTGAGTCCACCTAACTGAGGAAGGCCCAGGTTGGGAAAGCTGTGTCGTAGCAGAGAGGAAACTGTTTACAGCTGCAAAAGGCCAAGCCATTTCCCATGCAAACTCTGCAAAGCAACATGCTGTAACATACGTACTTGGGACAAAAACTCTGAAGTGGTGAACTGCATGGGCATTGTGGCTGAGGCACCATACTGTGAGCAGAGAAAACTACTTTTATTCGTTTGATTTAGATCCTACCGTTCTATTGAGGCAGGACATAAAACGGGACATAGGCCATAAAACAGGGCATAAAGAAGAGAAATACTGACATGAGTCTCATAGATAGTGAAATGTGTGTATTAGTTAGAAGATAAACAAGGAAATGGAAAATGTCAAACCACAAGTTCATTTGTCGGTCGCACATACAGTAAGTGTCAAGCTTGAAGCTCTGTTATAGGTAACCACATATGTCTCTATGTCTCACTTGTAGCTAACCACAAATGTGCTGCAGGAGACCTAGATGCTTTGGCATGAAACCTGTGACCCCAATCGATGAGAGGGGGACAAGATATTTAGCTACGGCAGCATAGCAACAGGGGGCTGTAAAAGGGGCTGTGATTCAAGTAACCAATCAATGCTAACCAGTTACATTTCCGTGTTTTGCTGTTTCTGAAGAGTATATATGAACTTGTTTTTTTTATAAGAAGCTGTTCAGATATGGCTACGAATATATTGCTCTGAACCTTTGCGCAAATAAACCCAACTTCTTTTGATTCCGTGGTCTGAGTCCTGTGATTTTCTGCAACACTATCAATGGGGCAATCCAAAATTTTTGTTTTTTCAAAATAAAAAAGCAGCTCCAATTATTATTACTACAACCCAAGGGACCTAGCTGAAGAAGACAGTCTTCACTCGTGAAAACAACTCTTCCTCAACTTGGGAGCAAGGTGGGAGAAAGGCCTTCTTCTCCCGATTGACCAATGGGCTCTGAAAGTGGGTTTCTTTCCTGGTGACCTACATACTCATAGACAGGCACAGAGACAGGTAGCCCTTCAAATGGCCAGACCAGAAGAAATGTAGGACTTCAAATATTAAAACTAACATTTCAAACTGCTCTTTCAGAGGGAATAGAACTTTGTCTAACACTAACCCCAAAGTCTAGTTTTCTACTGAATGCCAGTACTTCTGTCTTGTCTGAGCTTATTTTCATCTTGTTCACTTTATCTAGCTCATCCTTACACTCAGGCAATGATGAAGGGAACTGACCATTATTTTTGCAGTTAAATGACAAAGAGGACCAGATCTGAGGGCTGTCAAATAAATTCATTTTATTTATCACTATTCTAAGTAACTGAGAAATCTCCTGCTTAAAAGAGGGACAGAATGCTCAGAAAAAAACCAGCAAGTCCAGTTTTCCAAGTAAACAGAGGTTCAGTTCCAGTCATGGCAGCAACAGATAAAAGAAAGAAATGAGGAGTAACCAAAGCTGAAGTCATTCCCTCATCATCAGGCATGTATTAAAAATGAAAGTGAAAGGATGGGGATGATGCCCAAATGACCCTGTGACTATATTTCCCTTTCCTGTACAATAATGAGTACTTTTCATTCCATTCATTGCAAGCCCAAAGAAAATGGATAACTGCAAATGCTAAGCATTGGAATGACATTCTGGTCACTTTATCATGAATAACCAGTGAGATTCTTAATAAATCCTCAGACCCAATTATTTAATTAGATTCAAAGAGCTCTGCCATGGATACAAAGACAGCAGAAACGCGAAAGGGGAACAAGCGCCTTTGAAGAAATTGCATTCTCTTTTTCATTTTGCAAGAAATGAAGCATAGTAAAACAGATAATGGTCCTATCTGTAATAGCAAGATCCATATACTTTTCCTAAAATGAAAAAAGACCCTGAATTTAAAACCATGCCCCCACAAATGATAAGACTAGAAAAAAAAGTAAGCCTACTTTAGAGTATTCTCAACAAACCTAAAACTATTCCCTCATCCAAATGAAAAGGCAAAGGAACAAGCAAATATCCATTTTAAGTTTAAAATATACAACATATTCAGTTGCAGGTAAAAAAAAATAACATTCAGCTGCTGGGAGCCAATCATAATAATATTCTGACATTTTCTCCAAATGTGCAGTTTAGTAGCATTAAAATAAAAAAGTAGCCTAGATCATTGCCTACTAGCTTAATATTGGCATTGTGTTTGCTCCAATTACATTTAACATATGAAAAAAGTTCCTATTTTAATATGTTCCTAGAATGGCCCATTTTCACTTGGCTCAGTTTGGTTGATTCTGAGAAGTAACTCTTGTAGGTCAAGACATCCAAATATCTACATGCAGCAAGTCAGTGGGAAATTCCAGGAAAAGAGCTGAGTTTGGAGAGTACCTCCAAAATAAGAGTACATAAACCGTAGGCTCTAAGGCAGTGATGGCGAATCTTTTAGAGGCCGAGTGCCCAAACTGCAACGCAAAATCCACTTATATATCTTCAGGTGCCGGGTGGTTATGGCCTATTGGGTGGGCGTGGCCCATTGGGTGGGCATGGCTGCGCTGGTAATGGCAGACTGGGTGGGATTAAAAAGTTCAATCAATCAATTCCAACTTTGCGAGATATTTTTTTTTCCTGCAAGAAGTTGAAATTGATTGATTGAACCCTTTTTGGGGGGGGCACATGGCGGTGGAGGCCTAAAGCGGAAAGGTTTTATAAAACCCAGCTGAAGGCCTAGGACTGGGGCGACGGCACGCGTGCCCACAGAGAGGACTCTGCGTGCCACTTGTGGCACGCGTGCCATAGGTTCGCCCCCACGGCCCTAAGGGGTGCATAGAGCTCACAAAAATCTTTTGGCCCTTTTATAAATCACCATCAAACTATAATTTTTAACAGAACAAAAAGAGGAAGTGAGTAAGCACATGCAAAGCATTGTGTTAATTTGTAACAATTATTTTAATTAGTTGAAGATCAATTAAATCAGATTTAGATTTTGTCTTGGTTTGCATACTTTTTGGAGTGCAATCCACAGCAGATCAAAAGTTTACTGAACAATTGGTTGGGCCCACTACCAGATCGCAAGGAGTCACCGATGGTCAGAAACAGGTATTGACAAGCTTGGTTACATGGACATACATGGGTACAAATACAGGATAACCCCAAATGTTTGAAGCAGTGCAAAAAAAAAAAAAGGTGTTGGTGGGGAAAATACAGATGGCAGGACAGCAAGTGAACTTCATTCTCTTTGGCTATGATGCAAGAAATTCTTTTCTTTCAGTGCTGGGTGGAAAGACATAAGTTTATTGAGAGTTTACCACAGCCATTTCCAGTTCCACAACAGTGTAACATTACAGACTTCTGCCTCTGCAATAACTCTCTGCTCATATGCTATCAGTGCATTGCCTGGCGTAAGATCATGTGCCATGCATAAAGAAGTAAGAGCTCCAGAAAGCACTTACCTTCACAATTATCTTCATTCACATTCTTGAACTCACTTCCCCCCTTAGGTAAGTAAAATCCTGGTTTGCACTCGCAATAGAAGCCTGCACAGTCTCTCTTACATATACCATGTTTTCCACACTGTTCACTTTCACAGGTAGAATCAGCTAGAAGAAGACCATTCAGGAAAAGAAATAATTTGACATCAGAAATACATTTCTTCACTGGGTTTAAAAATAGACACCAAACTCAAGAAGCAGAAAAGGAAGGGAGTCTAATCAATCTGCAGAATCAGACTGAGAAAAAATTTGAGGGATATCTTCCCATTAATACAGGGTACATCCACATAGCCAGGATGGAAAAACATTCTCCCTTTTTTGTTTTTATATTATGTTTTTTTTCCAAATTAGAAATAAGAGAGTTTGATCTTTGCCATATGAACCCTGTTGCTCAATCATTACACTGGACAATACATTTTTTTTCAAAGGGTTTGCTTCCTGAAAAATTATAATTGATGAGATACAAATCCCTTCAAATTGGACACAAATATAATTTCAGATTGATATCAAATTAACTTTTAATGACTATAATCCAGGGGCTCCCAACCGGGGGTGCGAGACAATATTCCTGGGAATGCGAAAACTTCTGCATAGTGTATATGTGTAATTCATTGCCATTATTTTGAACTTTTGTAAGGGGTGCGAGAATATATCAGAAGCATTCTAGGGGTGCTGGGTATAGAAAAGGTTGGGAACCGCTGCTATAATGTATGTTTCTGACATGCTGCATGAGCTCAAATTTGCTTGTACTCCGTGTCCGATGCATCTCACTGTAGTTACCAACAATAGTCAGCCAGCACTGATGAATTTCAGTTGCCCTAAATACTGTTTTTCCATTGTAGTAATGTCCTACTGTAGTAATGTCCTAATGTTCGTCATCTAGTTTTTTGGAAAAGAAGCCCAAGTGAGAATGCAAAAAATGAATCTTCATGGTCTTGTATGCTGTAAGAAGTTTGACAACCAGCTGGATTTAGTTTAGTGCTCTGTAGTTGCCGCTAAGAAAATTCTCAACAGCATCCTTGAATGCCTTCCAGGAATTTTTTTGTGGCCCCACTAACAGATCTTCAAACCACCTGTCATTGATGATGTATCTGAACTGTGGACCAAAAGGAGTGCCTTCCTTGATTTTGGCATCAGTTATTCTTGGAAATATCTGTCTCAAATAACAAAAACTTTCACCTTCTTTGTTTATCACTTTCACAAAATTTTTGTGGCCCCACTAACAGATCTTCAAACCACCTGTCATTGATGATGTATCTGAACTGTGGACCAAAAGGAGTGCCTTCCTTGATTTTGGCATCAGTTATTCTTGGAAATATCTGTCTCAAATAACAAAAACTTTCACCTTCTTTGTTTATCACTTTTACAAAATTTTTCATCAGTCTGAGTTTTTTTGTGAAGCAGAGGCAAAAATATCTTTATTGGGTCAACAAGTGGTTCATTTGCCATATTTTTATGTCCTAGGACCTAGAACCAAATTCTTTCAGAGTGACATTTCTTTCTAATGTAATGCAACTCTCTTGCATGGCTGTCCCATATGCATATGTAACAACAGTACTTAGAATATCAGGAGTCCCTTCCAAGCAGCTGAGTCACTACTTTTACACCTCCACAGCTATTCCAGTTATACAGTATACTGGATGTGCTTCAGCAACAATTCTATGTTTTTCTATGTTTCTTTCATACCTGTAGC